CAAAATCTATCACAGGAGGCTGAAACAAAATTAATTCAGACTAAAGAAACTGGATGCACTTGTAAAGACAAAACTTTAGAACAACTTGCCAACAAACGTTGGGCAGTGGGAAATCTGCCACATCTGAAAATCAAAACTGCCAAATCAAAACAATTCCTCCAAAAAATGGATTGTTTCAACCAAAACCAATGATTTTTGACAGAGAAACCATGCACGAAATTGTCTGGCTTACATTATGTGAAACATGACAGATTACCCTAATGAAATTTCTAGCCTTAAAATCCATATGTTTACTTGTCTTGAGAGCAAATCAAATCCTTTTTTCAGTTGGCACACACCCACCAGATGACTGCTAACGTTAATTCTGATGTTTAACATCTTATTTGCAGGCCAGACTTCAATGTCTCTGCTTGTAAGAACCATAGACACAAACTCCCTCTCTGCAGATCTGCCTCCCCTCTCTCACTCACCTCCTTGTCTCCTGAGCAGAACCATCACCGTGTCTCATCACGACCAAAGTGTAGATTCAGAAAGACAATAAATCTGAGCTTTTGAAAACTTTTCCCCAAAAACTGGAATGCTCTTTCAAGCCTTTGCCAGCTTTTTCAGCACACTGAAACAATCCTATCCCCATGTAAATGCAGATTTGTTTTAAATAAAAGATCTTCCACTGAAAGAAAGAAATGTGTTTGTGCTATTAGGTGTGGTTTTTCTACTCTGTTCTATTGAGACAGTGAAAATATTGAATTTGTTTCTGATTCTGACCCTTTTAGGATTCCTCTGATCTCATCAAGCAGTGCTTTAGACTGCTAAGAATGAGTTGAAGGTCCAAGCTTCTGCATTAATCAGATACCTTAAGGCACTAATATAACAAAAAAAAATCAATATTCAGACTAATTGTTCTGTAAATCACCATTTCAGAAACAACATGAAACAAGCCTCTGCCCTCCTGGAACCTGTAGCCATGGAATTTAGTACAGTTAAGCAGAAGCTCAGAATTCCTGGCTCTAATTGTCACAAGTTTTGATGAGAAGGATGATCTCTGTGTGATTAGAGAGAACCAAGCACCTGCCACTACAACCTCAGCAAATGCACCTTCACTCACCTCAGCTGTCATCATGAGAATTCCTGACACTTGGAACACAGAGAGATACTGAGAAAACAAAAACCTAATAAAATCAAGGAAGGAAGTTAGTGCACAGAGGAAAGAAGCAACTTCTCTGTGAGAACAGCCAGAAGTGGTTGCTAACATAGCTGTGGATCACTGGCCAACAGGTGAAACAGAAATTCATATGGGGAATTTTGAAAAATTGATGTTTTTACCCTCTAAATAAAAGTGTCTCCAGATATAGAATGGATTTAATCTAATTAGTCATCTGCCCAGTCCAGACAGTACCTTATATTTCTCCTTTATCCTCATATAAATTCATTTAGTTTCTGGGGCCTTCTTAAATAAAATGTTATTGAAAGACTTAATTCAGATTAAAATTCTTAATGTTCCTCACTTGCTGGAACAACCCCAGTTTTCCTTACTCTGCCATTATAATATAATGAGCAAACTGGACATGAGTTCAGTTTGCCAGGGCACTGCAAGCCCAGATCAACTTTCATGAGCAGAGATATAATAATTTTTTATCATATTTCAAAGCAACTGGTATTGTAACTCTTCACAATTTTTTTTTTTTTAAAGCATGTACTTGACCATACCTTCAACAAGAATACAGGCTGTTCCACAGGAGGACATGAAGTTTCTAGGAGTCTTCACAGCACAATCTTGGTGACTTTTTAACAACCTTAAGATCAACTGACTTTAAAGTTAGTCCTAAATGCACTTTCTTTGCAACAAGAGAACCATAGCAACATGATTAAGGCTGGCACACGATCCAGTGTTTTAATTCTCTTGGCAAAAACTTGTAAGTTCCAATTATAGCATTTCTTTTTTTTTTTTTTTTTTTTTCAAGAGATGCTTAGGAAGGTCTGATTTCACTGTGTCTCAGGCATATGGTTTACAGAGCAGCTCAACAGGGAAGGAGTTACTTGGATACATGAATAAATGCTACATTAAATCACAACCTTAAACAAAAACAGGGTGATGGGGCTATGTGTGAGCAATTATGCTGTACAGGGAAAAAATATACATCTCTGCAGTGTACCTACAATGCCTGCCCACAGATCTGTCTCCCTGGAAATGCTGGATTAGTTTCTGGAAAGAAACAACTACCTCTCCTTGTTCCAAGGCAGCCACTTAAGAATTACAGGTTGCTGGATCTGTTCAGGATTATCAGGACCCTCCTGCTGTTCACCTCTTTGCAAAGCCTTCTCTGCTACTGGAATAAAGATCTGATCCTTACAAGTTTCACCTGAAATTCATTAACATAACACTCGGGCTTTTGAAATACCCCACTAGAAAAAAAAATATTCTAACACAGAACCAGCCTGTGGTAAAAGAGCAAAATTTCTTTACCAAGCCACAGCATGGTAATCTAGTGAAGTATATTTCCAAGTTAATTGATTGCAAAACATAAGGAAAGAGCCTACAGGAAATGAAACATGCAATATAGAATCTACATGAAGTTCAACACCCTGAGCTTGCACACAGAATTATCACAGTGCCTGAACTGAAAGGCAGTTTAATGCCTGTAGCTTGTTCACTCTTCTTCTCTGCACCAAACTTTTTCTGCATGAATGGCCTTTGTGTGCCATCCTGTCCACCACAGGGTTTAAGGCAGATTTTTCTGCTAGGAAAGCTCAAATGAAAGCAATTCAAGATCAATTGTTCGCTCTGAAAGGAAGGTTACAACTGTCATTCTGATACCAACGTGTGTTGTGGTATCTCCCTTCCATAATGCAGGATGTGGTTTCCATAGAAATATCTTCTTACATCAGTACCTACAAGCCCTCCAATTATTCCCCTTTGGACACCTCATGCAATCCAATAAAATCTTTTCAGAGCAGGGAAATAACTAGGCTCAGCTACTACTTAATTACTTGGTGAGAAGAAAAAGAAAAGCACACTTAGTAAACAAAAGCTTTATTTAAAACAAAACATAAAATGGAGAATATGTACTGCAAAAAAAAATTCATAATACCTGGAAAAATTTCTCCATTGTTACAACTTAAGAACAGTCAATTACAACTTTTAAGATCATACTGAATTTTGCTGGTTTCTGAATTTGCAATTACGGTGTCATTTTAAATTGTTTGGTGGCCTTTTCTCCATCTAAGTCCCCAGGACCTTCTCTTTTCCTGAGTCCTTTACGTTGCTGAGTATCACCTGCACTTTTTTCCAAGTTCTCCTCTTGAGGACCTTGTGAGTTGAGAGTCCCTGCTGCTGTTTTGTCATCTTCTTTCTCCATGGCATCTCCTGCCACTTGCCCAACTCCAGGAAAGCAGTCAACACCCTGAAATTAGAGCCAAGACAGAATGATCAGCAAATTATACACAAACAAAATAAACAGTGACTTGATCCTGACATCAAACATTTTCTGTTGGCCATGGCTGCCATAAACGTGCAAGGCACGAAACTCAGCTGCACTTTTTGCCTAGAACAGCTTCATTCCTGCTGCTCTGCCTGCCTTCCCAAAGTGTCAGCATAAGGAAAACTGGGAGCACAGGGAGCCTTGATCTGGCTGGGTGGGCTCTGGAGCCATGGCCACAGCACACAACAAGAGCGTGCACCACAGGGGCTGGAGCCACCACAGCTCCCCTGGGACACTCAGGGCTGAGGGAAACAAACTGATTTAATTGTGTGGCAACCAAAATGTGCTGGGCAAACAACCCCTGCAGCTTTCTGTTTTGCTTCCACTCATCTCGCCGTTTTCTTTATTACTTCAAAAAGCTTCATTCCTGTGATTTGTTTTCTCAGACACATGGCTTAGGCTTCATCTAAACCTCACTGTCTGTTTTAGGCCTAAGTGCTAAAAAAAGCTAAACATGGCCAGATCTGCAGCTCAGCAGTGAGATGAAATAATTAGGACAATAAAGGGTTAGACCTATTCATTCTGAAGCAACACTCAAGCTCCTGCACAGAAAAGATCACAAGTGGAGTTCAGAAAGTCCTTCCATATGCAAACACAGAATTCACAGACTCACTAGGTTGGAAGAGACCTTCAAGATCATCAAGTCCAACCCAGCCCCAACACCTCAACTAAACCCTGGCATCCAGTGCCACATCCAGTCTTTTTTCAAAGACATCCAGGGGTGGTGACTACACCACCTCCCCAGGCAGGCCATTCCAGAAATTTATCACTCTCTCTGTGAAAAACTTTTTCCTAATATCCAACCTGTATATCCCTTGATGCAGCTCAAGCCTGTGTCCTCTAGTTCTGTCAGTTGATGTTTGGAGAAAGAGACCAACCCCCACCTGACCACAGCCACCTTTCAGGAAGTTGTACAGAGTGATAAGGTCACCTCTGAGTCTCCTTTTCTCCAGGCTGAACACCCCCAGCTCCCTCAGTTGTTCCTCACAGGATTTGTGTTCCCAGCCCTTCTCCACAGCCTTGTTGCCCCCTCTGGACGTGGCTGAGTGCCTCAACGTCCTTCCCAAACTGAGGGGCCCAGAACTGGACACAGCACTCAAGGTGTGCCCTCACCAGTGCCAAGCACAGGGGCAGAACGACCTCCCTGCTCCTGCTGGCCACACCATTCCTGGTACAGGCCAGGAACCATTGGCCTTCCTGGCCACCAGGGCACTCTGCTGGCTCGTATTCAGTCAGCTGTTGACCAGCACCCCCAGGTCCCTTTCTGCCTGGGCACTGTCCAGCCACACCGTACCCAGCCTATAGCATTGCAGGGTTATTGGGGCCAAAATGCAGGACTCAAGCCTTGGTACAGTTTGGCCACCGTGGTTCTGGGGGTTTTTTTTGGGTTTTTTCTTTTTGGGTTTAGGTTTTTTTTTGGTGTTTTTTTTTTTTTTTTTTTTTTTTTTTTCTTTTTTTTTTTTTTTTTTTTTTTTTTAGTAAACAAAACAAAACCAAAGCAAAAACCAAAAAAAAACAAACAAAAGCCTCTCCAAATACATTTACTTATCACCAATGAAAATACTATACCATGGCCCAGGAAAGGGGTGGGAAAAAAACAAGCTATTAAGTCTGGCTTTCATCAATGTCCTTGTCGGGATCCATGGCTGCCACTTCGCTCTCCTGCTGCTGCTTCTTCCAGAGCTTTGCCATAGCCAGGAGTTTGAGGTTGGGCTGATTGGCAGCATCTTCTGGGAAAATATAATCACAGTACTCCTCCCATCCAGCATCAGACCCATCTTCAGCCTGCAGCTTTCTCCTCTTCTTTATTCTCTCAGGCATCAGTTTATGTATCCTCTCCTTAGTGGCAGGGGTGCCATGCCCCTCCTCGAAGCTCCTCCAGGACTCGAGAAGCATGGCCCTCTCCTCCTTGTCCTTGCAGCTGCCCATGGCCTCGTTGGCCTCCCTGTAGACCTGCCGGCAGCGCTGCAGCCTCTCCTCCTGACCCACCAACAGCTCAAACTGGGCCAGGCTGATCCACACCTTGCTGTGCTGTGTGCGCTGCAGCAGCCGCCGGTAAAGCCTCCTGATCCTCTCAAACTCCTCTTGCTCCATCTCAAAGTCAATGTAGGATTTCCAAAGCACCTCCGGCATGTCCAGCCGGGGCTGGTCAATAGCCAGCTCGTAGATGGCCCTGGCACGGTCAATGTCCCCAAGGATGGTTTCTAGCTCAGCAAATTTAATCCAGGACGTGCAGTTTTCTGGTGCAAACTGCAGGAATTTTTCATACAACTTTCGGCAACGGTCAAATTCACGCAGCTGTAACTCCAGCTCAATGTAACCTTTAAACAGTTTGGTTTTTGGACATTTACCTATGGATGTCCCCAAAGCCCTTCTGGCAAGCAGGAGGTTTTTCTGGCGAATTTCAAACTGTGCATACAGCAGCCACATCTTGGCAAGTGTAAACCTCTCATGGGGCACGAGCTCAAGGCATGCCTGGTACACCTGTCTGGTTCGCTCTGCATCCTTTGCCTCCAGTTCCTCATAGAGTGCATAGTTAATCCAGAGGTAGATGTACCTCTTCCAGAGGCGTTTCTCCTGGATGGGGGGCACGTTGGCGATGGCTCTCTCGTACACCTCCCGCACGGTCTCGGCGTCCATGTCGCTCTCCACCAGTCGCAGGTAGTCGAACCACGCGTCGTAGTTGTGGGGGTTTGCCTTCACCTCCTCCTCATACTGGAATCTCCTCTTGCTGAAAATGGTGTCCTCAATTCCCCTCCTGTCTCCAAACTTCTTCTCAAAGATGGTGTAATTCTTGAGGAGATCCTGGACATCCTGCTTTGGAATTCTATCCAAGGCATACTTGTAAATAATCCTCACTCTTTCAAATTCTTTCTGGTTCTCCTCAAACTTGGCAAATGCCACATACAAGTGCTCATCCATGTGCTCCTCCCCAAAGAACTCCACTGCCCTCTCATACACCTTCCTGGCATGGGCTAAGTAGCTGTGCTTCTCCTCAAAGCGGGCATACCGGATCCAGTTCTTCACACTGGGGTGAACAAGGACAAATCTCTCATAAATGCTTCGTGCTCTGTCCACCTCTTTGTATCTGAGCTCGAAGTTGATGTAGGAATGCCAGGCTTGCTCCTCTGGCTGCCACTCTATCCACCGTTCAAACACCTGGCGTGACCCAGCAACATTCCCCAGCATCTCCTCCATGTACGTGTACTTGTACCAGAACTGGCTCACCCCAGGTAGGGTGGTGACGGCCCGGTCCCAGATGTTCCTGGCGTGGTTGACCTGGCGGTTCTTCATCTCCATCTCAGCATACTTCAGCCAGAGGGTGACACTCCTGTAGTCCACGTCCAGGGCACGCTCGTAAATGGAACGGGCTCTCTGGATTTCCTTCAGGCTTTCCTCCCATTGTGCATACTTTATCCAGTTACTGATAACAGTCCTGTTCTTTCTTATGTTATCTTCAAAAGCCTTCCTCTTCCTGAGTTTATAATCATTTAGCTCTTCAACATCTGTGATAATCTGCTGCGGAGGTGGTGGGAGAAGCTCGAGTTCCCTCTCCTTTGCCTCTCTCAGAAGCTGCTCTGCTGTGATTTGAACTTCAGCAGGTGCCTTGTTTTTCACCTTTGCCACTCTGGGGATGTGCTGCTTCCCAGGCTCCATAGATGCCATCTTGCTACCCTGGCCCGTAGCTCTCCTCTTCTCACAAGATTATTTGCAGCAATTAATTTTAAGTTCTTAACTAGATCCTATAATCTTAACTGCAGCAGTTCTTTAAAGTTTAGAAATAATTCACTCACAAAAAAAAAAAAAATTACTGCTCAAGCAGACAAAGGCAGAATACAAACTGACACCTTGTGGGTCAGGGTACTGGCAGCAGTCCAAATAAATGGTGGCTGCAGCTCTCCAGCAGTGACAGGTGTGGTTCTGTTGTAGCACTGATCCTGTAGATGGGTGAAGTTTCCCTCTGAAGATCCAGTGGTGGCGTAGAAGTGTCCAGTCCTCCTCTGGGAATCCAGTGGAAAAAGGCTGCCTGTGGTACTCCAGGGCTCAGATTATATCCAGGTGGGAATGCTTGGCTCCTCCCCCTGGGCAGAGCATCTCCCAATGGGATGGTGTAATCTTATCAGTCATGCGGGGAGGCTAAATGGGCCATTAACAGAAGATATCTCCTGGAGGGAGGATGGGTCATGGAAGAGATAAAGAAAAACTGTCCTACCTGGTTTTAACAGATGTTGATAGAATACACCTGGTTACATCTTGCAGTGCAATCTAAGACAGTTAAATTCTACTTTTCTATGTTGTAAAATATATAGTTGTTTTCTTTTAAGAGATAAAACAACTCCAATAAAACAGCTGTGATGAAACAATGACAAACACCTGTTTGTGGATAAAGAAGATACAGTGTGTTCATCCTTGATTTTGTCAAAGATTGTATTGCTTGTTACAATCTCTGCTGTTTTATCTTCCATATATAAGACAGAAGAGTCAGTGATGATTTTACATTATTGCTGTTGTTGATTGTAAGGTGTTTTCCTTTGTTTCATTTTACTGTCACAGGTACATTACTGTTTAGAAAGGGAGAAAGGCACCAAGGGAAAACAAGTCATAAGATGGCATATTAGTTACTGTACCTTATTCATCTGGTCTAATTTTCTGGGTTTAGTAGTTGGAGTCTTCTCCATAAAAGAGCCCACTTCAGCTTCTGGAGAAGTTGGGGGAATATTTTGCCACAGAAAGAGATTAAAAAGGAAAAATATTATCATATTTGCACAGCTATTTCCATTTTAAAAAACCACTAGAAAAAGCCACCTGACTCTCACCTACAATCCCTCTTGCCTTGTTTCTGTTAATTAACCAAATCAGATGGCACCATGACACTACCACAAAAACCTAAGCTGAACAACTATACTAGAAACAAACTGTCTGTGGATCTTGAAAGTGCTGCTAAATAGATAATCTGTTCTCCTCTTACACCTAGAAAACCCATATCCCTTTCTCCAGAAAATATAGGTACTCTGACCAATTCTGATAAAGAATTACATGCAATCACTTGAAATTTATTTTAATTCTTCTCAGCCTGCTTGGTTCTGCATTAGCTTCACATTTACATGCTTTATGCATATTACTAAACTACTTCCAAACAGCTCTGTTCACTGCCTGGTAGATTTAGCAACCACGACCAAACCATGTGAAATGATTTCTGTTCCTCCAATCAGCCCCAGAAGAGAAATGTCATTATGTTCCTGTTGCTGAGACTATTTGATGAAACTGAATCTCCTACATTTTTCAAACAATAAGAATTAATTCAGAATGAATGACTGCAGCCATGTGTGACAACATGCTAAAAAGCTTGATTTTTATAGATATATATATACAGACAGAAATGTGTGTGTGTGTGTGTGTGTGTGTGTGTGTACATGCCTACATGTGTATCTGTGCACATCCAAATTGAAGTACCAGCTGCAGCAGAGGGCTGCAGTTTATATGAACTGCCACTAGATGCAGCCACACCACCTTGCAAAATTGAATATTCTGACCTCAAGATTACAGAAACCTGGTTTGGAATATGTATGACTGTAGAATTCCTACAAGAACATAAATGGTATTCAATCCTGAGTACTGGTGTGGGGAAAAAAATCCATAATATGAGCAAAATATTCAATTTTTCTTCTCAGTAATTTTGTTCCAAAACACAGCATTGCACAGCATTGCAAATGTCAACAGGAATCTTAAGAAATCAGAGCAGAATAAGACTTGTCTATTTTCACAGTTGTTGCCATAGATCCTGATTGGAGCTGACAATATTGAATTACATTGTGTTTTGCTTTCTGCATAACAGAGAAAGTAGGAATGAAGACCTTATTCCCAAGAGACACCCCTAAAGATAGAATCATAGCATCATAGAATAGTTTGGATTGGAAGAGACTTTTAAAGGTCATCTAATGCAATCCCCAGCAACAAGCAGGGACATCTTCTACAAGACCACGTTGCTCCAAGCCCCATCCAACCTGACCTTGGACACTTCCAGTGATGGGGCTGTCACAGCTTCTCTGGGCACCCTGTACCAGGGCCTCAACACCCTCATAGCAAAAATTTATTTCCTTATATCTAGCCTAAATCTATCCTCTTCTAGTTTAAAATCATTATCCCATGTCTTGTTGCAACAGGTCCAGCTAAAATCTTTATCCCCACCTTTCTTAGGGTCCCTCTTTAGGCAGTGGAAAGCTGCAGTCAAGGCAGTTCCCCAGCCTCATGTGTATTTTTTACTGACAGCAATTCTGGTGGAATGATATTTCCCCATTCTTTGGGTCATTCATCTATTTGTTTTTCTAGAAGATGGCAAAAAGAAGAAAGAAAAAAGAAAGCATCTTCTCCCCCAGGATCTGCTGAGTTTTGATCTGATCGTAGTTCTGTTCGGTTGCCATTAATAAACTTCACTTAGCAAGATTAAAGGTTTAGCTGGTTTAAAGCACAAGGAACACAGATATAATGGCTTCAGAGGAACCCAGCCTAGGGCTAAAGTCTGACTGAACTCTCCTGTGGGTGCTGTAGACAAGATGAAACGTGGTGTCTCAACAGAAGGTTCCCGAGCCAAAACAGAGCAGGATGGATGTGGGAAGGCATGGGAGAAATTTGCTGCACTTCCAGAAAGAGACAATGTGTGCCCTTTTTTTGGAACCCAGTGCTTATCACAGCTTGTGGGCATGCAGCAGAGGGGCCTGCCTGGGTCCTCCAGCCACCTGAACAGATTACATCAACAAGATTCCCACATGAACCATGAAAAGGTTTCCTCATTCTGTCGCTATCTTCTGTGAAGCAGGCAGAAAATGCTCCCAAGCAAAAAGGATTTACCCTGTAGGAGAGTACTTGGAATCTTCCAAAGCCCATAATGAAAACCTTTGTGTTTCCATCCAAGAATGGTATTGGCAGCAACTGAAGGTAATTAAACACACTGCCCACTGGCCATACAAATTTTTTCTTTATAACAATTTCAGAGAAACAAACCCCTGTCTATAACCCAGACAATGTGTTGTGCAACAGGGATTTTTTGGGCTAACTTCTACCCTGCTCTAAGCACACTGCAACAGGAATTCCAGCCTTTTTATGCCAAGGCTGTGCTTTGTTCAGGATCTCTCAGATGCTCTGTGGTTCCATTTCATTACCTCGTAATTTCTAAGAATTGTCCTGTTTACTGTGAAAAGATGAGGAAACTGGCCTGCACACTCAGTATTGCCCCCATGTGCAAACAACAGAGACATCACCTCTCCATGATCACTACCTAACCCTTGGTTACATTTCTTATCTTTAGAAACTATAACACAGACAAGTTCACACTGCTTGTTTTAACTCACTTCCTGAAGGGGATGACTCCATCTGAATTTTTAACCAGATATTCAGTCGCTGGCTCCAATCTCCTGGTGCTTCCACTTCCCACAGTCGCTTCTGCTCCTCAGGATGAGCCTGCAGGAATTTCTGGCATACTGAAAGAAGAAACCAAGGGGTAAAAGTATGAATGAGTGAAAAGTATATTGGAAGAGGGAGCATGTTCTATCCCGGAAATTCTCTCAGACCTACTTTCATTAGTTCCTTCAGAAATCTTTCTTCTCCCTTCTCGTCTTCCTCCTCTTTGTTTTAGCTGGGACTTTTACGAAAAGTCTATTTGAAATGGCCTAAACACTCATGAGTGCATCCTACATCTGCTTCAATCTAGATTATTTCCTTGTGAGTGCAGAAATAAGACTTGAAATGATTTGCTGAGCACCTTCTACTGCACTGCAGCACAGAACAATGTGCAGACAATCAGTGGATTTCACAGCAGTGTGGGGTTTTTTTACCCTCACTACTCTGAAAGGAGAGGGGCTCCTCTATCTTCCAGCTTTGGCCATTGAGAGTGCTACTTCAATTTCTGTTTGTAAAGAAAAGCTCTTGCTTCAGTTTGGTTTTGGGCCAAAGTCACCCTCCTTTTCACTACTGCTACCCTAGGCCCCATTGTTAGGTTCATTTATTTCTTTGGATGTGGAAAAAGAAGAAATGGGAAGAACCAAGGGAAAAATTACAGGATACATGTGACAGGTGTACAATCACCTTTAAAAACCATATTGCCACAGATGCCTACCACTGTCATTACACACACTGACCATCCAAATATTTAGGTCTGCTTATGTTATCAAACTGAAGTATTTTCTATTTAATGGTATCCTTAGGATGTGTGCAGTGTCAAGAGGAGGCCCCGCTGTAGAACAAACAGTTCAAAACTTTTACAGGGCATTTTTCAACTTCCCTCAACCACTATGTTATCAGTTATCAGTTATCAGTTATCAGTTGCATCAACTGCTCTAAGATAGTGATCTGTAAACAACGAAATTACTGTCGTTCTCAGTCCATTGTAGTTCATCATACTACAGAATGGGTCATTTATCTTCAACATTCAGTTGAGCTTAACAATGGGATGTCGAAACAAAAACCCTAATTCTGGTATGTAAACATTTGCCTTACACTAATGAGCAGATCGAAGACATTAATTTTATCCAAGGATATCCAGACCAAATTATTCATTCCAATAAAAGCTACTAAAACTAACATATATACTAGAATCCAGGTAACTGCCACACAGCTTTTTCCTTCCTTCTACGCCTCTACAGCAGCTTAAATATCATGTCCATGTTAAATAAACTGTCCACAGCTTCAGAGATTTCAGTACAGAGATTTAAAGGTTGCATTCATTTGTCAAAGCATGAAAATGTGGTTCCAATGAAATTAAAAACAGACAGTGACTTCAATACGCTCAAAATTTAACTAAGAGTATTGGTATTTTTATAAAAGTAAACCTAATTAAAACATGATGCAAGTCAAATTTATTCACTACTAGCTCTAAACTTAATTGAGACAAAAGCAGAGTCTTCCAACATATTGCTGGTGTTAACACATAAGAAATGCAGCTTTCTCCTCCATGCTTTCTAAAGCCCTGAGGTCTGCCAAAGGAAAAATGGATATTATTGGGAGAAGAGAAGGAATGCTGTCAATACCATTCCCTCCTGAAATCACAAGTAGCAGTACCTGCTCGGGTGCTTTTGAATACATTCAAGGGCACACAATAACCAAGAGAGAGAGCAAATGGGGCCAAAATTTTGTTGACACTTACTAGAAAATAACTGGAAAGCTGTAAGTCAATCAATACGTCTCCCCAAAGATGATGGTGAAGACTGCACCACACAAAGAGCAACTTCAGAAAAAAAGTACTTTTCTAAAGAAGACACTTTTATAAATAACATGAGCACAGATTTTTTTTCTGTGAATTTCACTAGCAAAACCAGAGTTTTGACCTGAAGACAGAGAAGATATATGACTACTTTGTGATCTTTTAAAAGTGACAAATGTTCAAAGACAGTTGAAACAAGTATTGATGTAACTGTATGACTGAGTAGAGCCTGGGTATTTGGATTATTAAATGTAATTTCTTAAACATGCAAGATCTACCAGAGCATTATGTGCACAGTGTGGGCTTGTCAAGATCTTATGAGTCTTTTCCCTGTGGTGTCAAATAAAATGTGTAAGTCCCTGTCTAGGGCAATGACATAGTTCTGAGAGAGAGCAGTTCTAGGAACACAAACTGT